CATAAAAATGATTGCTGATGAAACTATCACTGAAGATTCCGATCAGATGACGGAAGAAGAAGATAGAAACGAAGGTAAATTTGCATCACAAAGCAACGTGGAGGCCGTTCGAAGAGCGCTCAGCTGCCCTTACTGCATGGCTTATATGACTGCTCCGATATTCACTTGTGTCACTGGCCATACCTTTTGTAATGAATGTAAGCCGCTACTGCAGAGGTGTCCCACGTGCCAGGCCTCTTTAGACGGACCAAGGAATTACACTCTGGAGGAGATGGCTAATGATATGAAGGTGTCTTGTCAGTTCGACGTCAATGGGTGCACCTTCTTCGACAGCACTTCTAATNTTTAACTATCAACTTAAGGTAAGTTCGGCCCATTACCTCGGGACCATTCTGTATATAGCAACAATCATATTAATTTTCGGCTACCTCAAAAACTCTTATCACATGGTTGGAATATTTTAAAAACTGTTTTTTTTTTTCAAAAGAACTCTTTAAAGAAACAGGCAACTTAATCTAAACAGGTATATTTCCATTCAACGATGCTACCTTTTACGGAAGGAGCACCTTGTATATAATGTGATTTAGGAAGAAAATAGAAAAAGAAGTCAAGCCTTATTTATGCCATTTTACACCTAGGCGCTCCTTTTTCAAAATACCAGAAATTCAAAGTAAAATAAGTTTTCAATAATCAGCTCCATTATCTTTTGAAATATGAATCTTAAAAAGTATATCTACCTAGTGCCTATTGATCCCCTATAACAACATAGGTATTAACAAAAATATTTTTTTAATTGTGGTTTTATTACCTTTGCTCCAAAAATGTCGTTGTTAATGGCTTGACTTACTTTTTGGTATCATCCTGACTTTTATGACAAATATGACTTTTCCTTCAGATATTTCATAAAAATGATTGCTGATGAAACTATCACTGAAGATCCCGATCAGATGACGGAGGAAGAAGATAGAAACGAAGGTAAATTTGCATCGCAAAGCAACGTGGAGGCCGTTCGAAGAGCGCTCAGCTGCCCTTATTGCATGGCTTATATGACTGCTCCGATATTCACTTGTGTCACTGGCCATACCTTTTGTAATGAATGTAAGCCGCGACTGCAGAAGTGTCCCACGTGCCAGGCCTCTTTAGACGGATCAAGGAATTACACTCTGGAGGAGATGGCTAATGATATGAAGGTGTCTTGTCAGTTCGACGTCAATGGGTGCACCTTCTTCGACAGCACTTCTAATATGCGTATCCATGAACTGGAATGCTCATTAAACGATTTGCCGAGAAATGAGACATAAAGTTTGTCAATAATAATAATCGGAGATTATTTAGCTTAAGATCCTTTTTGAAAAGGGATTAAAAAAGATGGAAATTGCAAAATTAACTTGTTTACTTATAATTTTAAAACTATATTTGTATTTATACTTATATGATAAAAATAAATATTTTTGCAGAATACAGTTACTAATTTCTTTAAAAGGGCCAGAATTCTAAAATAGTATGCAACAAGTCTCAGAATAAAATATAACCGCTAGTTTTATGAGTTCTTTATCTGATAAAAATAATTTTGAGTATTTCGTATATCTGATGCAAGTGAGCTCTCTTATTCTCTTATTCTGTTGCTGCTGCAGATAAGCAGCGGTCATTTGTAATAAAACTAAAGCTAAAACAGAATTGCGTATAATAGATACCTAAATATACAGGGTGTACCGTAATTATTGGCCCAAATTGAAACAGCTCTAAGTACAGGGTACTAGAAGCAAAACAGTCCTAGTAAACATGGGTTCGCAAACGAGCCATTTGCGAGATAATTTAGAATTTCTGGTTATCAGCCATATTGACTTGATTGTTTGTAAACGTCATCCTAATTAGAAAAAGTTACTAATACAGCATTAAGAAAAGTTATTAGATACTTTGGTAAAAGCGCAGTTGTTTCTAATGAACAAGAAAACAGTATGTTACAGTTACACGTTACACAATGTTTGCAAGCGTTCAAAGTATCGTCCCTGTACTCGGATGTAGGCTTATTCTCGTCACTGCGCTGAGCACCAGTTTTATTGTTTACTTCTTGTGTAGTAAAAACGGTTCGTAGTGTGGTTTTTGAACATTTTCGAGACGTGGAGTTGTGTACGAGTATTGTACAGTAAGTAAAATGAAACATTACAGTAACGAGGAATATGCGGATATGCATTTGATGTATGGTAAGGCTAAAGCCAAT